AGCCTGGCTCACTAATGTTGAGTGTACAAGTACATACATCCCACACATGTTCATGAATCTTCCTGCGACACTTCTTCTATCTTTATTTTTTCATTACCATTATGTTTGTTCAATATGAATTCATTCTGTTTCATCATTCTTATACCTAAGCATTCTTCTTTAATGTTATGTATTCAGAAATGCATTATTTCACTGTCAATTATCACCATGGACAATACTGACTATCCACTATGAAATCTGGAGATAAGTTAGTGAAATTCATAGTTTTTCCATTACTTTATGTGTATATATGCATATATATATATATATGGAATGACTATACTGAGCTAACTTTGTATTCATTCTAACTTTGTATTCATTCTCTAATATATATTCATATATATATATATATATATGGAATGACTATACTGAACTAACTTTGTATTCATTCTCTAATAAGAAGAAAATACTTTAAAAGTATTAACTCCTTGCTTTCTTGTTTTAGATTTTACCATTTAAAAAATCTACACTTTATACAAAACATAAGTTAGCACACAATCCTTACAACTGATCCTTACAGCTTTTCAAGAAAGTGAATGGCATTCTTAAATTAATGATGTCATCGCTAGAGTCTAAGTGTTATAAAAGCAAGGGCCATGAATACAATACCCATAGTATTTAACAAAGTTGACAATTTGAGGATTACCTATTCTACTACAAATATTTTTCTTATCAGTATTTACCTCTGTACCAATTTACAATATTCCAAAGAATCTCTAATAATCTCTACATGTCCATGAAATTCATGAGGACACATTTTAATTCCTATTAATTTTAGAAGACAAGTAGATGTTATATAGTACTACTGAAAGAAAACTTGTTGATATTGTATTAAAATAATCTTTCTACACCTGTTTATTTATTTATTTATACTTATATTTTTGAGACAGAGTCTCATTATGTCGCCCTCGATAGTGCTGTGGCATTATAGCTCACAGCAACCTCAAATTCTTGGGCTTAAGCAATTCTCTTGCCTCAGCCTCCCAAGTAGCTGGGACTGCAGATGCCTGCCACAATGCCCATCTATTTTTTTGTTGTAGTTGTCATTGTTGTTTAGCAGGCCTGGGCTGGGTTCGAACCCGTCAGCTCTGGTGTATGTGGCTGGCACCATAACCACTGAACTACAGGACCTGAGCCTCTATGCCTATTTAAAATCAGTAAATAATCTTCACAGTTATTATCAGTAATTATCGGTTCATAATCTTCACAGTACAGTATCTACATAAAAATATATAACATCAAATAAAGAAATTTTTAAAATACAGTAATTTTTTATCTTGGTAAATATTTTTACTATAATGAGTAAAAAAACAAAAAACCCTTCATTTGACAATTTCAGTTATTTAAAGATGTTTAAGACCAGGTATGGTGGCTCACACCTGAAATCCTAGCACTCTGGAAGGCCAAGATAGGTGGATTGCCTGAGCCTAGAAGTTCGAGACCAGCCTGAAAAAGAGTGAGACCCCATCTCTACTGAAAATAGAAAAACTAGCCTGGTGTTGTGATGGGCACCTGTAGTCTGTTACTCGAGAAGCTGAGGCAAAAGGATATCTTGAGCCCAAGAGTTTAAGGTTGCTATGAGCTATGATGCCATACCATTCCACCCAGGGTGACAGAGTGACAGTCTGTCTCAAAAAAAAAAAAAAAAGGTGTTTAACTACCGGGTAAAAAAATATTGACATATTTGTATGGAAGTACAGAAGCATGAAGTACAAAATAAATATACTTAACTCTAAAAATAAGTTTAAACTAAACTGTCTTTAATCTATAATTCATACTATCTTATAAAGTAATAACATTTCCAAAAAGCAAGCTTTGATTTTCCTTTAAATGAAGAACATCATTTACCTCCAAAGATAGTATTGCTTAGATTTGCAATTTGGGTTCTATACACAGAACAGTTTTGGAAAGCACATGTCAAACTCAAACTGGCAAACTTCATGTGCCTTTTAATTGTTAACAATAACCTGATTATTTAAGAACTGGTTAAATATTAAGTATAAGAACCATCCAGCTCTCTTGCTCCCTCCTCCTGCTTTCACACTTGTTTGTAACTTCAATCAAAGAGACTCAGGCACAAAAAAGATAAAACTCTAACAGTATGTTTTATTAAAAGGAGTGTGAAGAGATTTTCCTGTGGAGGGCATTTAACTTCAAGACCCCAAATAAGGATTCTGAATCAACCGTGGATTTTGACTAGCTATATTTAATCTCATTTCACCTATCACAAGAACTCAAAAAGTATCCTGCTGTTAAATAAAGACTTGCTAATAATTGTACGTGTCTGTATGTGTATGTATGTAACAAAATGGAATAAGTAATAATTTTCACAATATGATCTTTGGAAGACAGGTGAACTCATACTGAAGTTTTGAAAAACAAGTCCCAATATTTCTGTAGAATATGAAATACTATAATTTTACAAGGAAGATCAAGTTTAGGAAAAACTTGGCAGTAAACATTCTCATTATTTCCTTTGGAATCATTCCTTACTCTTAATATTTTATATACATTATTATTTTCTATCTTAATTAACAGAACTAGTGACTTAAAAGAACAGAATTGGGCTGCTTAGCTGAATTGGTTAGATTTTTAATTACTAAAATGTGGAATTAAACACAACAGAGATATTTTACACTATTTATGACCAAAACATTCACACATAACCAATATAGTTTGCTTAAACATAAAAAAATGTAAATGCAGGCTAGGTGCAATAGCTTACACCTATAATCCTAGCTCTTTGAAAGGCTAAGGCGAGAGGATAGCTTGAGCCCAGAACGTGGGAAACCAGCCTGAGCAACATACTGAGATCCATCTCTACAAAAAACAAATTATCCAGGCATGGTGGCTTATGCCTGTAGTCCCAGCTACTTGGGAGGAGTCTGAGGCAGAAGGATTGGTTGAGCCCAGGAGTTTAAAGCTGCAGTGAGCTATGATGATGCCACTGAATTCTAGCTTGGGCAACAGAAAGAGATCCTGTCTTAAAAAAAAATTTAAAAATTTAAATAGATTAACACTTCTTTTTTTTTTTTGAGACAGAGCCTCAAGCTGTCCCCCTGGATAGAGTGCTGTGGCATCTCAACTCACAGCAACCTCCAACTCCTGGGCTCAAGCGAGTCTCCTGCCTCCGCCTCCCAAGTTGCTGGGACCACAGGCGCCCGCCACAATGCCTGGCTATTTTTTGGTTGCAGCCATCATTGTTGTTTGGTGGGCCCAGGCTGGATTCGAACCTGCCACCTTAGGTGTAAGGGGCTGGTGCCTTAGCCACTTGAGCCACAGGCACTGAGCCAGATTAACACTTCTATTTGTAATGTAAAATAATTAACATAAAATCATGTAACTATTCAGCACCAAGTTAATCAAGTATAACAGTTAAAATACTGCAAAAAAAAATGTTTCCCCAATTAAAAATTTCTATGCCATTTAAAGTTTAAAATGTTAGAGCTAATTCAACACATCTGTTTAGAGTCCCTCTGAAGGACTGACACTATTTAAGCACTGAATGCATTTTACAATTAAGATATTAAAAGAAAATTACCATACCTAGATCCCACAGCGCCATCTCCAGAGTCTTGGCTTCCAGCTTCACTTGGCGTGCTCACAGATTTGGAGGATGGAGACATAGGAGGAGGGACTAAATAGTGAAATAGACAGGTATCCGCTGTTACTACACGGAGAGGTTGCTCAGCTTATGACGTTTCAAAAATAATTTAACATGAAGTAATTAACAAAAAGAAAAAAATAATGGCAAACCAAAAAACAAATATATATGAATGAAAATGAACAGTAGAAAAAAAGGGGAAAAGACAAAGTTAACAATGCATGCTGAAGACTCATGCGATTTCTCTGGCAAAATGCATTTGCGCTTTATATTAAAAAAAAGAAAGATTATGGAAAGATGCATCTTCATTTCATCTATCACCAAATGTGGCCACTAATTTTCAAAGGAGAGCATTCCTTCTCCTCTAACTTCTTACTTTTAAGACCATCAGATTATAAGTATTATTTCACAACTGCTGTCAAAATTAAAACTCTGAAATATGCATCATTAAGTCATTTGAGCATAGTTTTATGAGATTTACTTTACAATATTAATTTCCGTCTAATTTTTTCTTTCAAAAACGTCTGAATGATTTCATTTCCTCCTCACTAATAAAAGGGTAATTCAGAGAAATGACTGCAGCTAAAGGAATGGCTCCTTTAAAATGTTCATTAGTTTCCAGCGATTTGGGTGAAAAATGCAAACAGGCTATAAAACAGCATGCCTTTCAGACATGATGCATAACATAAAGTGATGCATGCAAATTACACCAGGCAAGACTTATGGTAACTTCCTTACCCCAGTATTCAGAAAAAACTGAAGTGTACAGACAAAGATACAGACACCCAAAATATTCTTAATCCCTTCTTATAGAAAAATACACATTTTTCATAGTATATAAGATAAACAACAAATGCTTTCCCCTAAATTATCTAAACGTTTAACATTATATAAAAACAGTTGAACATGCACATTTCATGCTCTGGTAAAACTGACTACCGTTACAGGAATACAGGAGGACCGTCGCTGCCATCTTCTGGTTAAATTTTCCCATAAACTTCCCTAATCTCAAGTATCTTTTTAAAATTTCTCAGTGTACAATATTAATTCACTGGTACATTTTATGTTGAACTGAAAGCCCTTATTTTAATAGTCTACTGGAAAGAAGGTAAGTTCCTAGTTATACAGAAACTAAAGAATACATGCTTTTAGAATAGTCACATTCATTGAATCCTTAAGAGCAAAAATAGTGGGTTTGGTAACAAAATATACAAATATAGTATCAGGAATTGTATCTTAAACATAAGCAAAAAACTAATCATCCTTACGTTTTCAATAACAAATTCTATTGGTAACCAATAAGAGAAGAAGAAAAAAAACCATAGCTAGAATGTTTGTATCCTAAGAGACAGTGGCTAATTCTTGCTTAAATCTCAAATAACTATAAAAACATTATCAGTGCCTCCAATATTGTGATTAAATCAATCAGAAACAATTATAAGATCAGATAGCTTCATACAGTTCTCATGTGGATGGCACCTTGCTAGGTGCTGCATGTGTAATTCAAAGTACATCAAAATTACTTTTATCTGGAGCAGAGTAATATTAATGTCCCTAGACTTCTGTCAGGTAACATTTCCTCACCTTTTTGTCCATTCCTCACTGTGAGATTTCTCCTAGTCTAAGTCCCAAATGATATAGGAATAAAGAGTAATGTCTAACAGTTGCTTGTCTACTGTGCTGGCAACACAAATGTTTATTAAATTACAATGAGGCACCATGTTTTCACATTAAAGATTTTCAAAGAAAAGATTTTCTATCGTTAAATTACGCACTTAATACTTAGGAAAATAATTTTTCCAAGTATACATATCACAGAGAATGAATAAAAATACTAGTAAAATTCCTATTAATCTAATGATCTGTGATGAACTACAGAATTCTTTAACATGCTATTCCCCCCTTTCTAGTGACTTCAAGTATCAATAACCCCATTCAGCAAGTTCATGTTTTTAAATATGCTAACCAAAATTCTTTAAGAAAACAGTCTAAATAGTAATTATATATACATAAATAAATACATTAATCTCACCAGTTCTGAAACAAGCTACAGAAATAAAAAAATAAATAAAAAAGGCGATACTACCAAATTATCTCAATTTCTTAGATAGAAGCCAAAAAAAAAAAAAATCATAGTAACTTCAAATTTATAATTACATAAAAATCTCCATCCCAGAACTATAGTTTCTTTCTGCCAAAAAATAGTTTTTAGATAGCTGGTGAAAAAGACTTACAAAAGGACTCTTAGTTATTATGTGGCCCACAATTTCATCTTGCAACAATAAATAATGTTCACCACAGCAGGGAAAAATCTAGAAAAAAGTGTACTACTACTGCCAAAGGAGAAATGCTAATTTTTTTAAAAGGCAATGGTAGTGTTATTTAGTGACTACCACATTTTAACTTGATTAATCTAGAAAAATCAAAGAAGACTATAATTAATAAGACAATGTCACTATATTCCCAAATTTTAACAAACCCCTGAGAACAAATGAAAGCATATATTAAGGGAAGTTAAAGAAAAGAAACAAACTGAAACTTTTAGGTTCTCAAATCTAAGAAAAGACTCACTTCTAGAATTCTACTTTTTTTTTTTTGAGACAGTCTTACTCTACCACCCTGGATAGAGTGCTGTGCCACGATAGCTCACAGCAACCCAAAACTCTTGGGCTCAAACGTTCCTCTTGCTGTAGCCTTCCAAGTAGCTGGGACTATAGGTAACTACCATAATACCTGGCTAGTTTTTTCATTTTTAGTAGAGGTAGAGTCTCATATTTGCTCAAGCTGGACTCCTAAGCTCGAGTGATCCACCCACTTCAGCCTCCCAGAGTGCTAGGATTATAGGCGTGACCATTGCGCCTGGCATGGAATTCCTTTTTAAGGATAGCTCATGAGTCTAATTAGCTTTGAACATAAGTCATTAATACTTACCTTTTGCAGGTATTTGACATATGATTTGCTTAGTAAGAACAGTGATTCAAACACATTACTTTTACTCCAGAGTTCTGTCTATAAAATAGCCTAAAACAGGCTTTAAATGGTACAAAATAATTAATGTTAACATGTGAGTATGTTAATGAATTTCAACTTCTTAAAAGTTTAGAGCAAAGATTCTCTTGTTAGAAAATCAAGGGGGAAATATGAAGTAAGTGGGGGAAAAAATAAAAAAACTATACCGTGGCATGGCATTCATTCACTGATTGTGTTGAGTGATATCGAAAAGACTGTGATTCTATTTCTACAGTCTAAAAAGCCAATCAAGAAGGCCTTTCCTGCCAGTTTAGGCCTTGGGCTTCCAAAAGCAAAACATTAATGTTGCTGACTTCTGGCCTACAGGATTTTTAAACCAGAAAGGACCAGGAATGCACCTAGATTCAGAATTGGTATTAAGTCTAGGGTCAATCACAGAAGTCTCAAAGACAAAGGATGGTACATGGCCTAATTACTTTTCAAGTAGAAAAAAGGCTCTGGCAAGAAGGGGTTTTTGTCAGGAAGAAGGACCTGGAAAAGGTAGATGGCCAAGAAAGGTGAATGTAGGGAGTAGGAGTGCTGGTAGCAGACAGTGAAATGGAAGGAGTGAGCTGGGATAACAAAGTGGTAAGGTCTCTTCCAGTTACAACAACACCCCCTTGTGGAAGCAAATGCTCCTAGCCTGGAATAGGAACATTTCAATAACTACCTGTTCTTCACACTTTACTGTTTGTCCTTAAGGAAAGATACTGCTTTAAACCTTAACTCTCTGAAATATTAAATTTCTCCCTTTCTTATGCTCTTTTTCTTGAAAATGAGGTTTAATTATCCTCCACTAATCTCCATGAAATGTTTCATTTCCTTTATTCTCTTCTTCTTCTTCTTCTTTTTTTTTTTGAGACAGAGCCTCAAGCTATTCCCCTGGGTAGAGTGCTGTGGCATCACAGCTCACAGCAACCTCCAAGTCCTGGGCTCAAGCGAGTCTCCTGCCTCCGCCTCCCAAGTAGCTGAGACCACAGGTGCCTGCCACAACACCTGGCCATTTTTTGGTTGTAGCCATGATTGTTGTTTGGCAGGCCAGGTTGGATTCGAACCCGCCACCTTAGGTGTACATGGCCACTTGAGCCACAGGTGCCAAGCCCCTTTATTCTCTTCAATGTAATTTAGAGCACTAAATTTTTAAAAAAGAAATTAACAAATAAAAATAAAATTTTATAGCATTAAAATCTCAGAAGGAGCCAACAGTTCTTCTTGTGAAAAAATGTGTTAAAATTAAGCTAAACTTGAAAAAAAAATTACTTGGTGACACGGAAAGCACGTGTCTAAAAATTAGATTTTAAATGTTCAAAAGTTACAAGATGGAGGGGAAAAATGGAATGGTACTTATTTTGACTAGCTAATTTGTTTCTTCCCAATATAAGAAAGTTCAGATTAAAAACTATCACATTAATCAAGCTATCCTGTCCAATAGAGACCCAGCTACATACAGAGTAATTGAAAATGTCAGTTTTCATTTTTTTATAAGATGTTGCAAAACAGAGTTGCCCACATACAAAAGATGAATTTTTTTAGATCATTCATTTAAAAGAACTTCACATTTGATATAACATAACTTGAAAGCTGTGCCTAAAGTTCACTTTCTTAATACTGGACACTTAAATTTAGCAAAAGAAAACAAATCAAGCTATACATTGTAAGAAATATTCAAATTTCAATTTCCACTAGATAAACAATAAGATTTGGCTGTCATAGCTGAGTAAGATAGCACAAGTGTGTGGTCCTAGCTACTGGAGGAGGCTGAGTCAGAGTAATCATTTGAGTCCAGGAGTTTGAGGCTGCAATGAGCTATGATGATGCCACTGCCCTCTATTGTGGGCTACAGGGTGAGACGCTTTCTCAACAACCACCCCTTATATACACACACACACAAAGATTTGGTGGATATTGTCTTAAAAATGTAGTATGTTCTCTCTGCTCTAAAGAATCTCTGACAAAAACCAGTCAAATGACCAAGTAAATAAAAATCTATCAACAAAAAAAAGTTGAGAGGTTTTATCAGATGCATCTTTCTGAGTGTGTAACAAATCCCTTTCAATGGAATTTTAAAAATCCATTTTAGGAAACAATAGATTGATTTTTTTAATAAACCATTGAGTATTCTAGCAGTGTTTTTATGTTCTACTATTCAAAAATATTTAATAAATTCTCAAGGAATACATTCTATAGTGGAAAGAATAAACAAATATCTATCCTGAGTCATACACATAAAATGAATTTTTTACTGTGGCTTACTGTCAAGAAAAAGTATGATAGCCACGGCCTTCATCTGCATCCTGTATTCTTCAGGTCATAGTATAAATCAATGCCAGGTTTAATACTGGAACTTAAAATGTAGGCATATGTTTTAAGGAGATTATGAAATGGGGAGGACTGCTTGAGCTCAAGAGTTGGAGACCAGCCTGAGCAAGAGTGAGACCCTGTCCCCATAAAAAACAGAAAAACTAGCTGGGCATAATGGAGTGTACCTCTTGTCCCACCTACTTGGGAGGCTGAGACAGGAGGATCACTTGAGCCCAGGAGTTTGAGGCTGCAGTGTGCTCAACACTACTGTACTCTAGCCTGGTGATAGAGTGATACTGTCTCAAATAATAAATAAAGAGAAAAATGAATAGTCACATGTCACATGATACCAAAGTATCCCCTTCAGGTATCACCTATTAGTCACAAGGGTAACCATCAGGAGAGACTTGGTTACCACAACTATAACCCAGTAATCAAGCATCACTAATAGCTCAACAACCATATTTATGTGCTACTGATGTGACATAATATGAAGGACATAGCGCTACCTATGAGACAGCCACGCCAAAGATGTTCAGCCTGAAGCAAATCAAGCTTTTTGATTTAATTTTCAGTTTAGAGGAAATACAAAGAATAGAAGAACAAAAACTAAATGTGAGAAAACCATCAGACAAACCCAGGAGGTGAACATTGTACGGATCAATTGGCCCTCCAATAAGTGTCGTGAGGCAAAAAGTAGTATGTGTGTGGAGGATGTTCTAGATTAAAACAAATTAAAAACATGTAACTAGATACAATATATGCGTATAGCAAGATTTTGGTGGGAAACAAGCTAACTTTTTGAGGGAAGAAAAATGTTTGTGAAGCTAGGGCTGTTACAAAAAAGAGGAACCAAAGGGAGGGGATTTTATCAGAAATTAAGATACAATACAAAGCCACAGTAATTACAGCTGGGTTAATTGTGTATAATTGGACAAATAGATCCATGTGAAAACAGAGAGCCCAGAAATGCCCCTGAATTTATAAGAACTTACTGTATGAAAAGTTGGCATCAGATACCAATGGGGAGAAAGACAAGACTATTTAGTATGCAGAGTGAGAAAATTTGCTACTATATAGAGACAAATTAGGTTGGATCCCTACTTCATATCATTTTTTATATAAAATATAACCCAAATATCTAACTGGGAAGTATAAAACGATAAAGCTATTAGAAAAAAAAACAGGAAAATATATTTGCATCCTCACCACAGAAAAGAATTCCTTTTAAAAAAGATGAAAAAGAACAAGAAAAGGGTTATATAGGTTGAATATCCCTTATCTGAAATGTTTGAGACGAAAGTGTTTGAGGTTTTTTTGGATTTTAGACTATTTGCTTTATACTTAATAGTTCAGCATTCCTCATCAGAATATCTATAATCTGAAATGCATGCTGGTGCTCAGAAAGTTTCAGATTTTGGAGTGCTCTGAATTTTGGATTTTTGGAACAGGAATACTCAACTTATAACTGGTAGATTTGATTATACCAAAATGAAGGAGCTGACCATATCAAAATAAAGAATTCTGTTCAAAGAAGAATACAGTGAACACAGTTAACAGGTTACAGACTAGAAGAAGAAGGTATTTGTAAAAAAGACTAAAACAGAAAGAAGACCTCCCTACGACACATAAAACATACAAGGAATGTCTACAAATCAGAAGATAAAGAACCACAATAGTAAACAAGGAAAAGAATAAAAGATGCAACTCAAAGACAGAAGAACCTGAATGGTCAATAGCTATCTGAAGAGACAGTCAACCTCCCAGTAATCAGATAAATGCTTATAAAAATATTTTGGTACACCATTTTACAGCCATCAAGCTGCCAAAAATTAGAAAGTTGGGTAATATGCAAAGATTATATGGGTATCTTTAAGCAATTACTTTTGCATGCACCAGTAATGGGAAGGTAAACTTTTTTTCTTTTTTTTGCAGTTTTTGGCCGGGGCTGGGTTTGAACCCACCAACTCTGGCATATAGGACCAGTGCTCTACCCTTTTGAGCCACAGGCACCGCCCGGAAGGTAAACTTTTGTAGCCATCATTGAGAGTCGTGGGCAGAACCTAATAAATTTAAGTAAGCACTATACACAATAATAACACAGCAAGTTAATCCTTGGCATAGACACCAGAGAAACTTTGTCATGGTCCTCAAGGAGAAAGAATATATTCTTTATAGTGTTGCTTATGCTAGTAAAGCAAAGAGACAAAAGCAATCAAAGTGTGTAGCATTGGAGAAATGGACACGATACGGTACATGATATAATATTGTGCATCAGTCAGAAATAACTAGCTTTGTATATGGCAACATGGAGCAGAAGACACATAGCTCAATACCATCTGACTATATAAATGTCTATACATGGAGATATATGAAAACTTGAGTAACTTAAAACACAGGGAGGAAAGTATGTTAAAAATGCAAGAGTGGGTACTTAGTGCATGAGTGGGAAGAAAAATGGAATTAAGAGACAGGGAACAAGGGACACATACACAGACACAACTAAAGAATGGTCCTTCAAGAATCAACAATGCAGGTGGGTCATACATCTTGAAATATGAGCAAGTGAAACTGAAGTCCTAAAAAGGACCAAAACAAACAAACAAAAAAAAAACCTATAGAAGAAAAACAAAGCCAAATGAACGGAAAAAAAATAATCATTCAAATAACAAGCTATAACTAACAAGCAACTTGGTTTAGTTACTAGGGTAACAAGAAAAAAGTGTTTTGATTCTTTTACTCTTAAAATTCCAAGATGCAACATAAGCTCATTAAACACATAAAAATTAATATACTTCAGTCTTAGAATTCTCCCAAGAAGGAAAAGGAAAATGAGGTAAAGTAAATAACAGTGAAGGAGACTGAGAGTAACCAGCTTTTTCATCTTGGAACTTTTTAGAAATATCACCTCTAAGTACGATTATGTTGCAGTTTCACAATAAGCACATACAGCCATTACTATTGCCATTATTTGTCCTCTAGGTAAGATGAAACTAGCCCCAAAACTCACCCTAAAATTTTAGGTCCCTAAAGGACAAAGGCCATGTCAAACTAAAATACTCTGTAACAGAACCCAGCATGGAACTATTTTAAGTATTTAATGCTTTCTGATATGTAACTAGATTGCCCTGGTACCGCTACTATTTCAGCTTTTTGGTCTAGCATAGCTATTAAAATGAATAACCCAGAAAAAGAACAAGATTAGGCCAAATTATTGTCAAAATAAGTTACCAAAATTATCTTCCTTATTAGCATTGAGAGCAGATAGATGGCTACAAACTTCCCCTGCCACTCCTGTATATTAGTAAATATACTAATCACTAATATACTAATTACTAAATTACTAAATATACTAACATTAGAATATTAGTAAATACTAATATACTTTGAATACTAATAATATAATTTTGATTTATTATACTTCCCTAATTTACAGAAATGAATACAGAGTTAAGATCAGGAATCACAGCAATTTTTGAACTTAACATAGTATGGCACATAAAACTTGTTTCACAATGTTTGTTGAAACAAATGATTGATTTAATAAGAAAAGTCAATTGGTAGCTCCGTGTTACGTTAATGAATATAATTAATCTTGCAGCTCTTTTGAACACATAAAATAACCATGTACTAGTACATCTGAAAAAAGACAATTCCAAATAAATTATTATAAGATTAATGATGTTAAAAGACATAATAAGGAAAATCTGCAAAATATATTAAGTCAACTTGTTCATCTTATCTATGCCTGGGCTAAATCAAATCTATACCTAACTCTCATAAATGGATATATTCCTCTTCTTACCAATGGGGGATTCTGGAGTTAGCCCCATGCTTTGAAGTAATGCTTCCGCTTCTCTTCTCTTTTTTTCAAGATCTGACTCTTCTTGGACAGGAGCAACAGCTTCCTTCTTCTGATCAGTCTAAAATTTTTAAGTTAAAAACTTAAGTTTAAATTTGTATGTAACACTTATGTTTTCAAAAATAATAATGTGTTGTATACTTTTAGGGCATGAACTTACTTTTAAGTACAGATTAAGTTCCTTTTCATAGTCCCTAAAAGAAAGTTACTCTCAACAGAGTTCTAGTAAATGGTGTTCAAATGATATGTATTAAATTGACCCACTTTTATATGTAATCAAAGAGTTTCCACAAAAATTTTTCTAACAGATAAATTCAAAAAGTAAAATCAACTTCAAATTATCTACAGTATGAAAATGTCATCCATAGCCAGGAGTTATGGAAACCTTCCCGCCAACAGTGGCACAAAAGCTTAGCTATAAATATCACAACACTTTGAAAAAAACTAAGGAGGAATTACTTAAGTGGTGACAATTAAAAAAAATTTTTTTTTATTGTTGGGGATTCATTTAGGGTACAAGAAACCAGGTTACACTGATTGCATTTGTTAGGTAAAGTCCCTCTTATCAGGAGGAGACAATTTTTAAGGAAATGGACAATTTAATTTGTTGAAAAATTATGAGTACCACAAACTTGCATTTATTTTACTTAAGCAAAAGTAGAGAATGTTTATCAAAACTTCATCTAAAGATTTTTATTTTTAAACTACAAATCTTATTCTTTTTTTTTTTTTTTTAGACGGAGCCTCAAGCTGTCCCCCTGGGTGGAGTGCCATGGCATCACAGCTCACAGCAACCTCCAACTCCTGGGCTCAAGCGAGTCTCCTGCCTCCGCCTTCCAAGTAACTGGGACTACAGGCGCCTGCCACAACACCTGGCCATTTTTTGGTTGCAGCCATCATTGTTGTTTGGTGGGCCTGGGCTGGGGATTCGAACTTGCCACCTTAGTTGTATGTGGCTGGCGCCTTAGCCGCTTGAGCCACAGGCGCCAAGCCTACAGATCTTATTCTTATAATAATTAAAAACATGGATGGGTTTGATAAAGTTAAAAATCACCTTTACATAGCACATGCCATTTTTTGTTATGAAAATTTGTGCCAACTTTTATTTTAGCCATTTATAGTTTTAGCAAAACCACCTAGTTAAACCAGATAATCTACAATACTCTCATCTAAAGCATCTCAAGTAGGTTTGGCACCTGCAGCTCAGTGAATAGGGTGCCGGCCACATACACTGAAGCTGGCAGGTTCAAGCCCAGCCCCGGCCTGCTGAACAACAATGACAACTGCAACCAAAAAAAAAAAAATAGCCAGACACTGTGGTGGGTGCCTATAGTCCTCGCTCCTCTGGAGGTTGAGGCAAGAGAATCACTTAAGCCCAAGAGTTGGAGGTTGCTGTGAGCTGTGATGCCACAGCACTCTACCAAGAGTGACATAATGAGACTCTGTCTCAAAAATAAAATAAAATAAAATAAAAAACTCAAGTAAAATTTAGGCTTTTAAGGGAAAAGTTTTGTATGTATACTTCAAATGCCTGTGTCAACCAGGAATCTGTTATACTCATAACAGTGTCTGGTATAAATTTTGTTAGCCATAATATTCTATGATACCATTTTGACTTAAAATCATAGAAAATTTCATCAAAATAGCAAAATATACAGGGTGTCTCAAAGGTTGTCATACACAGGAAAAATTCTACCTTGGAACATGTTCACCATGAGTAGGAGAGAAGATTTCATGTGTGTGTGTGTGCAGAAAGAGGTTCTCAACATACAGAGAATATTTTCTAAATGTTTTGTAAAATAAAGGTATATTTAGTCATAATTCCCCATTTTCTATGTATGGTGACTTTTGGGACATCCTGTATTACCAATCTGATGCTTCCCTATCTAAAACAAGATTCTTTGTTTAATACCATTGAACTTTAAATTAGGTATCAATCATATAACAGATATGGCCACATATGTCCATCCTTAGAAAATAAAAATCAAATTTGCTTTTAACATTGAAGAATTTAAGGATATAGATACTATAAATATTATTTTGGAATGGCTCTAACAGTCTGAATCATGCTTCTACCAGTTAGCTTTTAATCAAATAGTTAATGTAAAGCTTCAGCCCTCTTTTTCTTTTTTTTTTTAGAGACAGAGTTTCACTTCATGCCCTCAGTAGAGTGCCAAGGCATCATACAACTCACAGCTACTTCCAACTCCTGGGTTTACGCAATTCTCTTGCCTTGGCTTCCGGAGTAGCTGGGTCTACAGGCACCCACCACAATGCCCAGCTATTTTTTTTGTTGCAGTTTGGCAGGGGCCGGGTTTGAACCCACCACCCTTGGTATAGGGGGCTGGTGCACTACCCACTGAACCACAGGCGCTGCCCAGCTTCAGCCCTCTTATAATAGTGTATCACAGAAAGGTTCAGAATAAACTACCAAATCCTTCAATCATAGACCTTTACAGCATCATAGAAATGTTGCACATAAACTGCACCTTCAATTTTTCTACTATGATTTTTATTAGTCTTAAGAGATTTTTGGCAGTCTTGGCAATTATTTAGGCTATCACATATAAAAACTTGGTAAAGACACACTCAGGACAAAAACTAACTTACATTGGCTATTTAAAACAAATCTGTGATAAAAATATACAGATCTATTCAAAGAGTTTCTATAGAAATAAACATATATTTCAATGCAAGAACAAGTAAAAAGTCTCCAATTCAGGGTCAACATACACTTGCTGCTGTATATGATGAAATACATGATGTCTAAAGTCTGAAGACAGATGGGCCTTGTCCACTTTTATGGTACTATCAAACCCACTACTCAGTAAAAATATCTCAATGACTAATTCATGATAAAAGAAATAAATCCCCTAATCAATTAAATAATCTTTTACATATTTCTACTGATCATGAATATTATCCATTTGTGATGGATTATTATATCCGTCACAAATATTCAGGTTAGCAAATATTCAGGTAAGTTCAAAATCCATACTAAATTATGATTTGTATGCTGTATCTTATGAACTATTACAATACAGATGCCCCTTAATTTAATAAACATATTCCTAAAAGACTAAATATGTAGTCGACCTTTTATAAATCAAATCTTAAAAATGCATCAGTCTATATAAAATATTTTTACTCAGTAAAAAACAAACATATATTAATTTACCAGTTTTGTCGTTTTCATACATTTGACTTCTTTAAAGTAAGATTTGCTTATGGTGCTACATTTGCAGTTACAACTGCTAGGTTTTTACTATCCTGAAATTATTACATAAATGTATAAGTATTTGGAATAAATCCTAATTACTTTACATTAAGTTTACTTTTTTAAAAAAAATCAAACATACTTCTTTTTTTTTCCTTTCTTCTTCTTTTCTCTTCTTTTCCTCTCTGATTTGGGCCAACCGCTGCTTCTTACGTTCCAATTCGGCCTTTAATTCGCTTTTGTCAGACATGTTTGAGACCTTAGAAAATCATTTCAAATAATCATTACCTTGGTAAAAGCAGAACACTTTTAAAAAATCAGTGCTTCGAGGAGAGAATTGTCCTATAAGGCCATGTAATTAAATGTTATTTAAAATGCACATAAACCCTACTTTTTAATTTTTAAATTTCAGATTAGTATGAAGGTAGTTAGGTTACAATGTTTGCATTTGGTAGGTCAAGTCCCTGTTGTAGTTGTGTCCTGCACCCAGGAAGGGTGCCATATACCCTTACTTTGTGCCCTTTAGGTGGGATCACATCAATCCTCCCTTCTTCTCCCTCTTTACTACTCCCTCCTAAACCCTACTTTTAAAATAATGAAAGCATATATACAGAGGGTGCACCCCCCCAAAATGTATACACATTTTAAGAAGGTAAAATTGTATTAAAATTGTAATACTCAACATGTACTGATAACACTTATCATAATATTTTACCTTGTATTTCTTGTAATTGCAGAAGTAAAACATGACTTGAGTATTACAATTTTAATACAGTTTTTTTCTTTCTTAAAATGTGTATACTTTTTTCTGGCACCCTCTATATATTATGAAGATTTGAAAAAATTATAAACAAACATACTTAAGAAATAAATATTACCCAGATCTAAGCATAATAATTAGTACATAGTAAGTGCTTTAATGTTCACATGCCCAGATTGAACACAATGTCTCAATGTTTTTTGATTACAATGTATTAGGGCATTGGAGATAAAGGTTAAAAGGGGTACTTAAAATAGAAGACATTAAGAAGAGTTGGCATTAAGAAGCTCTTATATTACATGATACAGATCAAAACTATTACCAGAATTTTGCATTCATACCTAGACACTTAATAAAAACAGTATGAGGTTAAATAGAAAGTTCCTATAAATTTTAAGGAGTGTCATGGAAGTAGTAATATTAAAGGCAAGCAAAACTTAACAGTTACCATTATTAACTATCAAATCAAATGACTTCCTTCTCCAAAGAAACACTTTAACTGCACTTATAGCACTTTTAGCACAATTATTTGTAAAATTATTTTAGCACAAGTAATTTGTAATTACTTGAAACGTTTCGTATTAGACTAATCTACTTGAAATCAGGGATTGTGTTTTCATCATTTTTGTTGCCTTCACAGCATTCAGCACAGTGGCCCTAACATTAAATTGATACTGGCTTAATAAATAATGGATAAGGTAGACAAAATCACAAGAGTTTCAAAAACCCATTACATAAACACTACTTCATCCTCAGTTTTAGGAAGAAGTAATGAATCAGGATTTTTTTTTTTAATTGAAAAAGTAGCCTAGCAGTTGAGCATACAGTAGGCGCCAGCAACTTGCTACCTTGTCCATATTACTGATTTATTGCATAATGATCAATCTCCCTCAGTGTCTCTGTAAAACTGAAGTACTAAATGCTTTTGATCAAGAAAACTAGGAGAATAACCTCTGGAAAACTGTATTTAGAATGCACGTATTTAAAAAGCACGATTATTAAATCGGAATAAAAATGTGTTAGTCAAAAAGAAAACTCCATCTACAGATAAATACATCAATGAAATTTCTGCTGCAGTACTCCCTAAAAACTGTCATTCGAGTTGATAATTTTCAAGTACACGAAAACAGTGAAAAGTTGACATGGAAGATCTATAAACACATACACAGTGCCAAAAAATGTATACACATTTGAAGAAAGGAAAAAAATGCACTAAAACTGTAATATTCAAGTCATATTCGACTTCTGCAATTACAAGAGGTGCTCAAATGTGACTTTTGTTATTGGTATATACTGAATATTACAATATGAGACCGCTTTTTCCTTTCCAAAAATGTATATACATTCTTTGGCACCCTCTGTATATACAACATCTACCAAGATTCATTTAAAACAAACTAAACAAGAAAACAGGAAAACATGTTTCTTACGCCGCCCTTTCTACACCTTTAAATAGCTCCTTACTACTGACTGTTGAAGAAAACTTCCATACTGCTTGCTATAGAAACCAACAAAAACTGGGATTAACCCCAAAACAAAGTTAAACCAGCTGAACTAGAGCTGAACCTGAGAGAGACCAAAGCCTCCAAGACTGACATGTTCACTTTCTTAAAACTCCAGGAAAGTCTCTAGAGTTTTGTGCAACAAGCTCCTTATTTGGGACTTTCCAACACCACAAGGTGAAGGGAAACGCTATCAATGCAAGTAGCTATTACTTTTATTTTTAAATGGAGCAAAGCGAAAAGCAATCACTTTCTCCCCTGGGGTCACCGCCAAAAGGGCGCGGTCCAGGCCACGGCATCCGGGAAAAGAGGCCAGTAGGCTTGAAAATCACCTCAAGGCTCCCCAGGCCGCCCTTCGAGAGTGAAGAGGTAAGGTAGTGGACTCCTATCCACGGGCCACCCTGAGACACAGCACCTGGCTCCCCTCCCCTGCCTCGTCCAAAGCCCGGCCGGGAGGCGCTGTCAGCAGGATTGGCAATCCGCCCTTCGAGTCCTAACAGGACACAGAGCAGGAAGGAGGGCCTGAAGGGAAAAACGCTCAACCCACCTGTCAGGCGGCGGGATAGGGAAGTTCTCCTGCCTGCAACTTCCCGATAAGGTCCTTCGCCTAGGCCCCCTAAAGCCAACTGCCTCCACCACTAGCTCCGCGGCTCCACCAAGCACACAAAGAGGGATGGGCGGCGGCTGCTACGGCGAGAGCTTAGGGACAAATGACTCACCAGAACGAGGTCGCTCCCAGAAATAAGGGGTGGGACCCTGCTGTGGGTGAATTAAAGCCTCTCCGTGACTTACCCGTTGTAAAGTAGAAGCTTACAGATAAGACAAAGAACACAGCCAGCCTAGCGACCTGAATTTTTTCCTGCTTTGCCAAAAACTGGAAAACTACACCTTATATTCTCGGGCTCAAAATGCAACTATCGCCGTCGCGTTACAAGGGGACACGACCGGAAAGAACTACAAGCCCCAGCAACAAGGGAAACCAGCGTACGGCGAGCAGTGCCTTCTGGGAATTGTAGTCACTGCTAGTCGCAAGTTTTGCTGGGATATGTAGTGTGCTTTTCGTTTTCTCACTTCAAGGCCTTCTTCCTTCAAGATTGTGATGAGAAGCTTCTCTTTAACGTTTTCTCGTCCATTGATCAGTGCTCACAGTGTTTTGTGTGTTAGATCGTAAGATGTTTAACCGAACATTGGAAGAATGTTATGAAGGTCTATTTTGCAGTGGTGAACCTGTGAATTATGCTGAACATTTGGTGAAGGACAGCTTTTAGGATATATATATATGTATATATATACACATATATATGTGTGTGTGTGGTGATATATACATATATACATATCAGTTTAGGATTTATACATATATAATCAGTATATATATATGACATATATGTATATATGAACATATATCAGTGTATATGTATATATAACATATATCAATATATATTCATAAATATATCAGTTTATATATATAATTATATATATCTTTTGGGGGGAAATGCATTCTAGAGGCTTCGTGTAGCATCTTAGGCAAAACATAAATAAAAATGTTAGTTGGTATAATAAATAATTCTCTAGTATTTTATTGCATTGTGATAGTGATACCGGAAAAGTGGCACCCCAGCCAGCTCAGCCCAGCAGGGCCTGGGGGGATCTGCCACTTCTGTCTTGGTGGCAGCAGCCGGCAAAAAAACCGACAGGTTGGGGTAAGTGAGGGAGCTTTCTTCCCCCAGAGGCTCCAGTAGAGTGGCGTTAGAGGACCTGTCAATCAAGGGAAAACTGGTGCCCATCCCTGATTGGTCCATTTTCAATCCTGCTCCTGATTGGTCCATTTTATGGACCAATCACAGTTAAGCTATTACACCTATATAAGGCCCCGGGCAGAGAGCCTGGGGGCAGATCATCGCAGACCTTCAAGGAAGATAGAAGAAGAAGAAGCAGAAGAAGAAGAAGAAGACTTCAGCCGACTATCGCAGACCATCCAGAGGAAGAAGCAAGAGCTGCGGCACTTCTAGTGCCGATCCTGCTCTACAAAGAGGCTTGGCTCTTTGTAGGAGTTATAACATTTGAGCTGCAACTGTAACACCTCCGCTGCTGATTCTGCCTTACAAAGAGGCTCGGCCCTTTGCTGATCTCTGCCCTGCAAAGAGGCTTGATCCTTTGTAAGAGCTGTAGCTGTAACACCTC